ATTGTTCTCCCTCTTTATGTAGGATCTCCTACATCCCTTCCAAGTGGATGGCAGTGGTAGCTGGGCACCATCTAGTTCTTCTGGTCTCATAGTTGTGACATTTGAACTGTTTTTATGAATAGATGTCTAATCCCATTGATGACAATATTATAGCTCATCATAGACAAGCAATTGCTTTATTGGTGTTCTACTAACTGAGGGTTGTTAAGCACGGTGTGGGTTCATGTGAAGCCAAGGACTGGATTTTGTTTGGGAAAGCCAATGAATGGCTACAAGAATGAATGCAAGAACTAAAACATAATGCACATACTGATGATGCTTTTACTTAATATTTAAATCATTTTCTTTTCTTCCCAGGTTATTTATCGTTCTATTAATTGTCATCAGCATCTTGTGGGTCCCCTTTGTACAGATATCTCAAAATGGGCAACTGTTCCATTATATAGAATCCATTGCTAGTTACCTCGGGCCTCCAGTTGCAGCTGTCTTCCTACTTGCCATCTTCTGTAAAAGAGTCAACGAACAGGTAAGTGAAAATCGGGGCACTTTTTCCCTGCAGAGGTGAGAAATATTGTTTATTTCTCTGGGATAGTAAAATGCATAATTTTCACCCTATTTGTTGTTGTTGTTGTTAAGTGCCGTCGAGTCGTTTCCGACTCATAGCGACCCCATGCACAGCAGAACGAAACACTGCCCGATCCTGTGCCAGCCCCACAATCCCTGCTATACTTGAGCTCATCATTGCAGCCACCGTATCAATCCATCTCGTTGAAGGCCTCCCCCTCTTTCGTAGACCCTCCACCCTACCAAGCATGACATCCCTCTCCAGGGAATGGTCCCTTCTTACAACATGACCAAAATAGGTGAGACGAAGTCTGGCCATTTTTGCTTCACCCTATTTATACACTTCAAATCCTATCTCAATATTGGTTCCAGTCAACCACAATTCCTGAGTCTCTCTAATGTGTGTAATTATATAGTGTACACCCAGAATACAGTGTTGATGATATTCCTAGGAAATATTATGTGCATATATGGCACAGTGCTGAACAACACAGGTGTTGGAGCCAGATTGCCAGAGTCCAATCCTGGCTTTGCCATCTTAATTGCCTTGCGATCTTAAGCACATTACTTTTCACTCTGTGTCTCAGTTTCCTCACGTGTTAAGTGAAGATAATAATACCTATGTAATGGGGTCATTGTGAAGATTATTTGAGATATAATATGTAAAGTGTTTCTGCTGGTGGGATGGTAAAATGGTGGAACCATTGTGGAAAACAGTATGAGGCTTCCTTAAAAAGTTGGAAATAGAAATACCATGTTGTTGTTGTTGTTGTTTGCCATCGAGTCGGCCCCGACTCATAGCGACCCCTCCTTGGGTTTCCGAGGCAGTATCACTACGGAAGTAGGAATGCCCAACCTTCCTTCC